CCGGCCCCGCCGCCCCGGGGCAGCTGCGCTTCGGAGTTTGGTTGAGGAAAAAACCCCCAACAACCCCGAAATAAGGGAAGCACATCTGTTCTGTCCAAAACCTTGGGCCACACTGTTCTGGTTTGAAAGAAAAGCGTGAAACGTGGCTAGGAGAGACGCTGCTCCTTCCACCAGAGGACTAGGCAGCAGCAGCGTGTTAAATTTAATGCACAAGTACCAAGTTATCCTTACATCTTTGCTGTGAGTATATATGAATATCTTCCGTTTCACAGAGGGAAATGTTGGCATAAGATTGCTTCCCTTGCGTCACGTGGAGAATAAATGACAGACTTGAGATTTCAGTTCAGGCATTACCAGATAACATGTGTGATGCATGCGGTTGTCCACCTCAAATTTATGAGAGGAGGGTTTTTGCTATTGGGTAGATAGTCATTATCAAGAAATATTTATAAAAAGAATCTTAGGTTTTACTCAAATCTTATACTCTTGCAGAGATAAGCTCAGATCTCTTAAGTGGAGAGCTGAAGTTGAGGAAGTGCTGATGATGAGACGGTCACAGTCTGTAATCACAATGGCCTCTAAAGAGGAAAGACATGCTCTTGACACGTACTTTGACACTGAGTTACTTATAGATTGTGTATGGTGAGAAGAGGAAAACGTTTACTTTTAATAGACACATTCTTTGCAAAGGAAGGGAATGTGGCAATAAAGCGGCCTAATCTTTGAATGTCTAGGGATGGGACTATGGAATCACCAGGAGTAGGTAGAACTGCAGAGAAGACAGGACAACCAGTATAATTGTCATCTCTCCCTCTAGGAGATGGCTGGAATCTTCTCTGATGTTGAATATCTAGGAGATGTTCTCTGTGGATGGTTTCCATAGGAATCACAGAATTGGTCAGGTTGGAAGGGACCACAGTGGGTCATCTGGTCCAACTTCCCTGCTCAAGCAGGGTTATCCTAGGGCACATGGCACATGATTGCATCCAGATGGTTCTTGAATATCTTCAGTGAGGGAAAATCCACAGCCTCTCTGGGTAACCTGTTTCAGAGTGCAGTCACTCGCACAGTAAAGATGTTCTTCCTCATATTCAAGTGGAACTTCCTTGGCATCAGTTTCTGCCTGTTGCCTCTTGTCCTGTTGCTTGGCACCACTGAGAAGAGCCTGGCTCTTTCCTCTTGACACCTTCCCTTCTGATACTTACGTGCATTGATGAGGTCCACCCTATCCCAGTACATCACTTACTGATACTTTTATATGTGTGTGTGTATATGAGTTATAGCTTGAATCTTTCCTATGGTATGTTTTTACCCTCATGCCATGCCCACCTTGGGCCCTAAGAACATTTTAATACTTTCCTTTTTATCTGCTTCTTCTATCTGTTAGGTATCCTTCTCCATGTTCTCTTTTCTAAAAAATCTCTATTTGTTCTGTCTTACCTCATGAGTCCTACAGTCCCTGCTCTGGCAGCACATCTTGAGAGTCTTCAGCCCAGGAAGCATTCCTGTAGCAAGTACAATCCTTTCAGGCACAGAGCTGAGGGACTTCGCACACCCCTTTTCTGTGGTTCGATCAGCTGGTATGATTACTAGTCTGTATGCCAACATCTGACCTTGTCCTTCCCTTCCCTTCCCTTCCCTTCCCTTCCCTTCCCTTCCCTTCCCTTTTCCTCCTTGTGTGCTTTTTTGTTCCATTGAGCTTCTTGCCCCTGAGCATCATAGCTCTCCATGTCTTTCTCTTGTGCCATCACTTTCTGATATTTATTACTCAGTTCATGTTCCCTCTTGCCTAGTCTACACCCTGCCTCTGTTCCTACCCTAAATCTTAGCAGCCATACTCCAGCCTTCCCTTCCCTTCCCTTCCCTTTTCCTCCTTGTGTGCTTTTTTGTTCCATTGAGCTTCTTGCCCCTGAGCATCATAGCTCTCCATGTCTTTCTCTTGTGCCATCACTTTCTGATATTTATTACTCAGTTCATGTTCCCTCTTGCCTAGTCTACACCCTGCCTCTGTTCCTACCCTAAATCTTAGCAGCCATACTCCAGCCTGTTTCCCCTAATTTGTCCTTAACGGAAATGTTATTTTCTGTTACCACCTGTGAAGTCCCCTCCATGTTCTCTGATTTTAGGCAGAGAAAGACCCTCAGTACTCTTAAATTCCACCTCCTAAGCTGTTCTTTTGCAGGCCCTATGCTCTTCAAGGAGACGATTCCTCAGCTCCTGTTCCTATGCAGGAGTTCATAGTCCACAGATGCTGCTTGGGTGCTGTGGGCACCCTGATGGCTCCATCAGCACAGTGAAGGAAGCTGCTTGGAGAGCATCACAGTGGTTTGTGAAAGCCAAAAAACTTCTTGAACCTCCCTGTCTCTCCTCCTTCCTGCAGACCTGCCTCTGGCTCCTGTATAATTAGGTTGTATCCGGTTGTCTCCTCCAGGTTTCTAGGCTCAGCACTGACAGCTCAGGGGTGGGCTCTTAGCTCTGATCTCGCCCATCACAGTCCAGACCTGCAGCTTCTGGGACTGTCACCTTTGTATGGACTCTGCTGTTAAATCCTAAGTTTGCATATGCCTATATACAAGTGGCATTCTTTTCAGGCCTTGCAACTTGATAAAATTAGGCCTGCGCAGACAAATTTCCCTTTACATCTAACTCTTTTCTACTAGCAGAGCAAAGCCTGTTTTAAACACCGCTCGTAAAAAGTCCTGAGCACGCTGGGAAAAGCTGGTAGAGTTGTTTAACATGGGTGATACAACATATTTTCTCCTTGACCTCACATTTGGAAGCTACCGAGCCTTTTGGCTTTAATTAACACAAAATATGTCTGAGGCAGATATTTGGCATGGGAGAGCTTAGTTTTCAAAATACAAAGATCAACAAAGTTATGTGCCATGAAAAAAATAGTCTCACAAAGTAGTAGAAAATAGGAAATTCTTGTAAAAAGCAATTCTGTCAGCCTCTGTCTATGATATGTAGCATCAAATACAGTTCCACACTGTGCAATTAAGGATATTATCAAATATCTGTATTTATTATTGAACTACAGCTGATAAAAATGCAATTTTATAACAAACAGACTACTGTATATAAGTAATAAAATCTGTATTTCTGTAAACTCACATAGGCATAGAGTGCAGTGTCTGGCATGTAATGCACTGTGTCAGATCCCAAGGCTAATCAGTAAATGTACATACATTGCAAGCAATACAATCTTGACTTGGGAAGTGCAGCAGAAACTAGCAGCACCTTTAATAATCACATATTTAGAAGTGGTAAGGAGATAAAAGACTGATGCTTCTGTCTTCCCACAAGATGTACAGCTTGGCTATTCATACAGACATTACATTACATACATACAGGCAGACATACATTGTTCACACATGTACAATAATAACAGGGGGGGAAAAAAGCTGCTTTGCAATAGAAAGGTCTTTTACATTACCCTTTTGCTCAGGTGACACCAGGTACAATGGAGCATCAGGAAATGTTACATGACACATAGTTTCCAACATACATTCCCTGTTCTTACATTACTTATACAAGAGTATGGAAAGAGAGTATGGTGAGATGCATCATTGCAAGCAATAGCAAAAAATTTAGCAAGGTAGTAGGAGAGTTCTTAAAAGTGATGGCATTTAAATATAGCATTTTTCAAAATATTCTTTTTAAAAATTCCTTTTTTTCTGTTTATTTCCTTTTTTTTTGGAATGATTTCTCATGTTATCAACCAAAGAACTTTGAGCAGTAGTGACCAGTCTGCAGAACTAACTGCACCAACACTTCCTTTGACTGATTAAACAGCAGTTATGACAGTAGAGATAATTCTAGATGGGATTGAAAGACTAACATAGTCAGGAAGGAAATACAGTGGACAGCCTGCTGTTGTAGTTTGCAATTATTGACCAAAAAAACCCCAATCAAGCAAAAAAAAAGCTAGTTAAAGGATAATTTTGCCTGAGAAAGCCTTGTAGCTGAGAAACTGCAATACCTATCATTCTAGTGACAGCCTTTGTGTGTTGTATGCCTGGAGACCTTTGAAAGACTAACATAGTCAGGAAGGAAATACAGTGGACAGCCTGCTGTTGTAGTTTGCAATTATTGACCAAAAAAACCCCAATCAAGCAAAAAAAAAGCTAGTTAAAGGATAATTTTGCCTGAGAAAGCCTTGTAGCTGAGAAACTGCAATACCTATCATTCTAGTGACAGCCTTTGTGTGTTGTATGCCTGGAGACCTGCAATGCCCAAGGTAATTTTTCTTTCTGTGTTTGGGCCATTTTTCGATAGGCATGAAGGAACAGGCTGCACTGGTATCCGGAACATTTCATTGCTGCCATCGTTTATGTAGATAATGTTACCCTCAGCTCTTCCATCCAAGGGAAGCAAAAGATCTTGGACAGCCTGTTCCTTCCAGATATTTCCATTCTGCCAAAGGTAATCCAGTTCCTGTTCTGAAAGTGAGCTAAAAAGCTGATCTATTTTTCCCTTGTGAACAAATCTGTTCAGACCACTGCCTTTTGCCAGATAGAAAAGAGCCAGAGGCTGCCTAGAATGATGCAGAGCTCCATAGAGCGCTTTGAAAGACTCACTCAAGCGTTTAACAAAAGTTTCCATTTTCCTGGAACCATCATCTAGTTGTTTTATATTTTGGGGCCAGAACAACAAGGAGGCTAGGAAGAAAGGCTCTACACACTGTGATGTTGACTCCACTTCCTGTAGAATGCTTATAAGCAGATCCTTCAACATCTTAGGACGCTGTAACTGAGTGGATTTAGGTTTAATGCAGTTAAGAACAACATTTGCCAAGATCAAATTTTGTTTATCTTTCCAAGTTGCTTGTACATCATTTGTACACAAATTTGCATAGACTTCTACTATGTCTTCTATTTCTTTGCCAGCATTTTTGTGATTTCTGTGGAGGTATTCCAAAATACCAGAAAAGGAGTCTGCTTTGGAAGCCTCCACAGTGTCCCTGTATGCTTCTATGCGCAGAGAAATGGGCTTCTTTGAGAACTGCTTATTTTTCAGTTGCTCAAAACTGAAATCACAAAATATTTCGGTGTATTTGGTAAAAAGTTCTTGAAGTTTCCCGTACAAGTTTTCTTCAACAATTTCTTTTTCTCTGTTCTGTGTTTTGAAAAACACAAAGTAGTCTTCAAAAAAGTCAAATGCCCTTTTCAACCTTGATCGCAAATTACATAAAAAACTGGAATAATGTGTAAGAACCTGAAACATTTCCCTGTCTGTGTTGGGATTCTCTACATTCAAAACACTATTTCCTGATAGATACTTTGTCATAAGTTTTTTAGACTGTAAGTCTTTTTTGCTGAAAAAAGGAACATGCCAAAGGACATCAATAACATAAAGACCAGTTTCTATTTCTCCCTGATAACCAGCAGTATTGTACATTTGAAGCTTTCTTTTAGGCTTTTGGTGCTGCGAATATTGTTCACTGGCTTCAATTTTAGCTTGCCTCTGAGATTCTTGGAAAGCCTGTGAAGCTTTCTCAGCAAACCCTAGTACACATTCCAGTTTCTTAGCTGTCAGGGCTTCAGTCTTTTCTTTGGACTCTACCGAGGCTCTTAGCTGACTTTTAAAGACTTGACCTAGTGTATCTGATATGTATGAATTATGTGGATCTCTTTGTTTTGCTTCTTTGGCCCACTGAAGTGCAAAATCAAATCTCCTTTCTCTAATGCAGTATCTTGCTAAGGCTTGGCAAATGTAACCATTTTGCTCAAATGTAGCAGCTGCTTGTTCTAACACACGTTTCACACCTTTGTCTTCCTTGTGAATGTTTTCAATTAAGGGGGAAAATGACGTGTCTGACTCGTCCCCATGTTCCTTGCGCTGTCTTGTAATCAGCAGGGTTTGTACATCACGAATAAATTTGTTTTGCTTTAACGAAGTCTTATAAAATAAATCTTCTTTCAATAACTTTAGTGTAATTGCACTTTTAGGCAAGTCATAGGTTAGTTTCAATTCTCTTAGGCAATGAGATGCTATCAAGGGGTGAATGATACGAAGACCTTTGTAGCTTGTGTATTCATGTACCTGATCAGATATTAGAATATTAGAACAAATTCCTATCTTTTCTATTAATTTCTCTTTGCTGCAGCCTATCTCTTGAAAATTAATTCCTAAGAATTTTTCACATAGTGATATTGAAATTGTAGATGTTCTTACATATGAGTTTAACAGTGCTAGATAGCAAACAAGTTGTGCTGGTTTAGAGGCAATATCCAAGTTATGCAAGGTATTTTTTACCACTTTTTCTATGTACTGTGTATTGAAGTTTTTCTTCATAATCATAAATGAATAGAAATTGGCAGGATTTGAATGCACCTCTTCAATATGTTTTAGTTTCTGATCAAAGGCCCTTTGCTCTTTTTCCGAAAGCATATGTTTTAAAGAAACACTGTTGAAGATATGGATTGTTGAACTTTCATCAGGATTCTGAGATCTCATACAGTTTAGAATGATCACTACAGGATTTGCATACCGAAGACCTTTTTCTATTATAGCTGCCTGAATTTCTTTCTGCAGAACATAGACATTTTCTTGCTCTTCAAAATCATCCACAAGAAGTAACACTGGTAAATAGCCTGTGTTGTCATTTGCACCATAGGTGAGTAAAGTTGTCACCTGTGTTCCAATATCACTTGGTTTGTTTTTCAGAACAGCACATCTGAATTTCTTCCGCAAATCCCAGAGGATATGCATAGCTAATGTTGTCCCACCACAGCCTGGGTGGTGGTAAAGGTTGATAATTTTTACAGGTGATTCATCAGCACTGTTAGATGAAGATACAATTAGGCCTTCAAGCTTTTCATAACTGTCCCTTTTGATAAAATCTGAAGTATATTTTTCAGAAGAAAAGTAGAAATTCCACCACGATACTTTCCCACCTCGATAAAACTGTTCTTCCCGCACTTTCAGGAAATTTTGAAATTTGACTGCATCCTTCTCTATTCTTGTGTCTTTGCATTCATTTTCACAAAGTATTTCCAATGCTGTCATGGAGTCATCTTTCCTCTTTAGAAGAATGTTAGAACAACCTACAGATGGCAGGAGTCTTTCAGAAGACTGTGTATCTGATGCCAGTTTTATGATGGTACCATTTACCATTTGCAGTGTTAAATTAGAAACACATTTCTTTGAAAGTGCTTCCTCACTGATGCCTCTAGCAAGCAGAACATCTTTCCATTGCTGGTATGTACCTGCACCAATGCAAATGCAGACCATGTTTTCCAGTCCCTTTAATTCCTGGTAGTATGTCATGAAAGTTTCAATAAGGGGATCTGCTGAATTTTCCACTGTGGAAAGCAAAAGAAACACTATTAAAAACTTTCCATTCTGCTTTATATCTTTGTGTGAAAGAAAGGAAATCATTTTTCTGACATCACTAGCTCTGTCCTGTTGCCATAAAGTGGAGTTTAATGGTGGTTTGTTATTGCCTTTGAAGTCTGATCCACCATTGCAGAAAATCCAGTTGGTCTCCTGATACAGTTTCAGCTTTCTAGCTTGTTCAGAAACCGAGCCCCCCATGTGTTCATAATAATCTGGGAAGCGAAGTATGGCATTTCGATTTTTTTTGTAAGTCTTCAATACACCATCCTTTTCTGATTCAGAGTCAAAGTCAAGCACAGCAAACCATTTTATTTCATATAAAAAGTCTAAGTCTGAAGTTTGGCTTGGGTGGCACTTGTTTGCTACCAAAATGTAGTAGTCATAGTAAGAGCTGTCTAGTGAGTCCTTGTTACCTGTGAGCAGACTAACTAGCTTTAGTCCTTCATTCATTGGTTTATTTTGCTTTAAGTTATGTCTTTCCTCTGCACTTTTACGACGATCTGCTAAAGATGATAACTTATCTTTAAATTGTGCAAATTCTTCCATATTGTAAATATTTCTGGAACTAGCTCCATCCCGGATGAAGACAGCCTTTTCCCAAGTCTTACTCTTAAATTTATATGTGAAGGTAATGAAATATTTTGTATCACAGATGCAGTGTTGGGGAACCACATCTACTTCAATGACAAAGCGATGTGATGAAGTTCCATTTGGTGATAATACTTCCACAAATCTAGGTTCTCTAATGCAAGCTTTTGCAATGCTGACGAAGCGCTTATCAAAGTACTTTCCCAAGTCTTTATTGAAATGCTCAATGTATGCATCTTGATTGGTAACTTCTATTCCTTCAATTTTTCCTTGTGGATTGTCCCATACTCCAAAATGGATCGTGCCATTTGTGCGGGAGTTCATGCAGGCTGCAGCAAACCTAAAGGTCTCATTGCAAAATTTCCTCATTATATCATCTTCTAGTGTATTCTCAGTGTTGGTAAGTAATTTGTATTCATGTACCGGATCCATGAGATTGCGTGGCCCTGTTTCAGGGGCATTAAGAATATTATACCTTATGTATCGAGTACAATCACTGAAATTATCAAAAGGATATGGCATAGACATATTTCCAGTTGGGTGCTGGCTGCTTGACAGTGGCTCCTCTGTTACAATCTCTTTGCCAGTTGACTTAACTGTTTTTGTGTCTTCCATGGGTTCCGTCTTAGAATCCTGCAGTATGCTGGAATTAAATGACTCACATTTCTTCTTGCACTCTTCCTTTCCCAGTCCCCCATCTTTTCCTTCTCCATCAAGACTCTGTTGAGTGTCTTCTTGTTCCACAGCCTGATCTGAACCTTTATCTATAACGCCATGCTCTTTCAGGAAATACATGATTTGAAGAGCAGGTTCATGAGGTATGCCCATTTTCAAAAAATCTGTTTTAGTCATCTGCTTCAAAGTAAAACCAGTCACAGCTTGGTTAAACAGGATTTCTGCATATTCTTGGTCAATCTTAACCACTTCAATTGCCCATTGCTTGACTTCTTCTTTTGTCCACTGTTCAATATGTTGATATGACCATGAGTTCTCATTTTGTTCAGTGGTTGCCTTTTCCATTCTTTAAGGAAAAATCATGACAAAATTGCTAAACAAGTGATTCACAATTGCCTATTAACTGAATAACACATATTTCCTTGCTATTATTAACTGTAAATTTCTTCATTAGTGTAATTACATAACATGGTATGTAACACATTGGGAGACATCATGAGAAAGTGAAATAAGATCATACATAAGGCATTAGCTACTTATAAAAGATTTATTAGAGAATTCTTTTATTTGCATTTTGTTTTTGAACCGCTTCTGCATCTGACACTACATGAAATTTGTGACTGATACCTATTTGTGATTATATGGGCCATCCAATAACTAAAAAACCCCCATAAAATTATAAAATCATAGAATTATAGAATATCCTCATTTGGAGGGGGCTTACAAGGGTCAGCAAGTCCAGCTCCTGACTCCACAAAGGGCAAACTAAAAGTTAAACCTTATGTCTAAGAACATTGTCCAAACACTTCTTAAATAGTGACAGGCTTGGGGCCATGACTGCTTTCCTGGGGAATTTGTTCCAGTGCTTGACAACCCCCTCAGCGAAGAACATTTTCCTAATATCCAATCTGAACTTCCCCTGGCACAGCCTTAAGCCATTTCCTCATGTCCTATCACTGGATAGAGATAGGACACTGTGACACTGTGTCCTATCACTGGACAGAGACAAGAGATCAACACTTCCCTCTCTCTTCCCCTTCATAAGGAATTTGTAGACAGCAATGAGGTCACCTCTCAGTCTCCTCTTTTCTAAGCTGAACAAACCCAGTATCTTCAGCTGCTCCTCATAAGTCATGCCCTCTAGTGCTTTCCCTGCTTTGTTTCCCTCCTTTGGGCACAGTCTAGTATTTTTATCTCCTTATACTGTCGAGCCCAGAACTGGACACAATGCTTAAGGTGAGGCCACACTAGTGCTCAGTATTGTGGGACAATCACTTATTTTGACAGGTTCACTATATTGTGCCTAATGCATCCCAGGATATGTTTGGCCCTTTTGGCCACCAGGGCACTGTTGATTCTTTTTGGGTTTAGCACCAGCCAAAACTCCTGGATCCTGTTCAGTAGGGCTGCACTTCAGCCTCTTGTCTTCCAACCTGCATATACATCCAGGACTACACTGTCCCAGATGTAGAATCCAGCATTTCTCTTCATTACATTTCATATGGTTCATGACTGACCAGCACTGTAATCTATCAAGATATCTCTGTCAGGCCTCTCAATAAATGGCTCCTCTTAGTTTAGTATCATTGGCAAACTTGTTTAGTATGTACTCAACTCCTGTGTCCAGGTCATTGATAAGACACTGAAGAGAACTGGTCCTAAAATTGAGTCCTGGAGAACACCACTAGTGATTGGCCACCAGCCAGATGATACTCCATTTATACCAATTTTTTATATTGCTTTGAGTCCCACCTTTCAGCCAGCTGTCCACCCACCATGTACACATCACAAATGGCTTTCATTAAGTTCCCAGTTTGGTGAAGAACAAAAATCAACCACACATGGAAATCCAATCTTTTTTTACCTTTAGATGTGGTTAAGGACGGAATTTGTTTGAATAATACCTCAAAGAGACATTGTTGTGAAAAGATACTGCCATGAATACTTAGCTATTGCTATTGCAAATGAAAGGAAAATCTTTTCCATATTAGCTTTTTGGTATATATCATGTTCACTAAGGTTTCTCAAATTAAACTAAATCAAGAGGAAATAGTACAGCAGCACTCGTGGAGGTGACAGGAAGAAGAGCATCTTACAATCTACTTGGTCTTAGTAAATGTGAACTTTTTGCAAAAACTTTTAAAACAGAAAAATAATACAATAATTGCTCTTCATAACATCTAATTTTACTTTATCCTGTCACTTCCTTTGGAAGAATGATATTCATTCAACTGGAATGCTGACTTTATGAAATTGCACTCACCTATGGTTGTTGTATTAGTGATAATGACCTTGTCCATGCACCTCTTCTTGCTTGCAGCTGACTGTTCCTGAAACAATATGACTTCTTAGATTTTTTTCAGTGAAACTTTATTTTCTGAAAAAACACTTGGCTGTCTGGGCCACCCTGATGATATGCTTTCACCAATATATTATTTGGTTTCCTAAACTACTAACTTTAATGAGAAGCAATAGTAATGATTCCTTATAACTAGAGGAGGAAAACAGCTGTCCTACCTTTGGCCAAGCTGCCTCCTGATTTAACAAATGAACTGTGGGAACAGAGAAAAAGGTGGGGCTATGGGTACAGAATCCTGCAGTTGTATTTTCCTTTACAGAGTCTGACTTTTGCCCACAGAAAAAGAAAAACTAAATGCCATTATAGTAAGTACATATTGTCAAAAATTGAGGATGCAGAGGCAAAAAAGATCAGTGTTTTTATTCAATGACTGAAGCAGCTGTTGCTATTCTTCGGTAACTCCACCTACTGTATCTGAAAGCTGAGAAAAGAAACTGAAACTAAAGCCCTTCTGCTCAGACCATTTTCAACCTAGTAATACAAAAGTATGATTTTAATTCCTACCAAATATATACTTTCTAATAGAGGTACAATTTAATCCTAACATAAAAGCAAATCTTTATGTCCTTAAAACAATTTTCCATGTGTTAGTGTTTGGAATCCCCCATAAAGAGATCAAGCTCCAGAACAGGTTACTTTCATTTCCTAGACTTAATGCTAAAGTTTCTGTTTCATATTACTTGCTAGTTAATGATTCTGGCCAACTGAAATACTATAAACTTGTCCTTTTCCAACATGGAACAACTGTATCGTGTTATTTCTGCAGAATAGTTTCCTTGAGGACATATTCCTTGGGATTATTTCACTGTAATCTCATAATAAAAATTTTTCCTGTGCAGATATTTATCAGATTCAAAGACTTTTTCTTAGCAGAATATGGTCATCTTATATATAAAATCTATGTCTCAAAAAAACCCCCAACAAAAAACCCTCCAAACCCCGGTCAAAAGACAGGTATCACACTAAGCCATCGGGTCTTCATAAAATATTCCAGCCTCACAATAAACATGCACATACTTATTGCAACTGTTCTATTCTGCAGGTTTTTTTCTATAGTTGTTCAATACACATAATTTGTTCAATCAGGAAACCCAACAGCTGAAATTCAGCTGAACTGCTCTTCTGAAGTATGAGGGAAAAAGGCCCATTAAAACAAGTTCATAAACTTCTAACATAAGTCATAAATAGAAAGAAGGAAAAGAGCATCAGTAGACATATGACTGGTTTTTCCCAGTGGCAAAGGCTCATTTCTAGAGAGAAATGTCTGCTAGAGAATATCTATTATTCCTTACCTTATCCTTGGCAAAGTGGGCCTAAGCAAAACAGACCTTCCAACAGGGCATCCAAACGCTGTAGACTGGGCAAGTCAAACTGGGTGTTGCAGAGAAAGGGGAGGATATATACGCAGAGTGTATGGGCAGTTCTATTGCTCCCAGCCTCGTTTGCTTTCACTTTTACCAAGCAAGGAAGCTTCTAATCTGCTTTTTCCTAACTTCCTGTTTGGGAAATCATTGTTCTCTTAGGAAATTAAGAATCCTGTTCTAGGATGCCTTTTTAAAAACACAGAACACTGTCTTGAGCTGCTATCCAGAAACTTGAGAAACTAGAAAACAGCATCTTAGTACTACTTAGCTAATAAAATGCAGAGAGGAACAGCTATGGGCTGATCAAAGTGTTATGGACTGACCACAGTCCCCCATTCCCCATTCCCCTGGGCTGCTTGGGGTGGCAGATGGAGCAGGTGGAAGAGTTGGGAAAGGAGGAATAAAGTTGAGCCTGGATAAACAGAGTAGGGTGGGGGAAGTTGTTTTAATCTTTTAACCTTGTTTCTCACCATCCCACATTATTTTAATTGGCAATGAATTAAATTACTTTTTCCCCAGTCAGGTTTGTTTTGCCTATAATGGTAACTGGTAAGTCATCTACCTGTCTTTTTCTTGACTCAGGAGCCTTAGTATCTTATTTTCTCCCCAGTGCTGCTAAGAAAGGGGAATGAGAGGGTGACTGGGTGGGCATATGGCAGCCAGAGAGGGTCAACTCACCACAATCCTTCAGAATGGAATCTACTCTGAGAACAACTGGGTGAGGTTACCAAGGTACTGCACATTTTAGAAAGCAAAGAGCATCTCCAGCCACTACAGAGTCAGCTGTGGAAAAGCCATCACCTCTTTCAGTTGTGGATGCTGCTCGTACTATTGCTTTCTATTCTTACATGCTTCCCTGTGTACTTCAGCTATGTTTATTTCTTCAGTCCTGTTGTGCACCCGTATGCTATTGCACAGATTCTTATTGGAAAAATTATATCACTAAGTCTTGAATCCCTAATTGCTGCACTTTTCAGGAATGCATCTTCAGCAGATAGAATTGTATGGCTGTACATTAAACCTCTCATATATTTTCATGTCAGGTTCAAGGGAGACAAAGTAATGCTTGATAAGATGTAATAAATACATCACCTTCTCAGACTATGGTGCAGGTCTGACATCATTCTAAGCATTCTGATGTGAAAAATTATAAGAAATAATACTGTCTTTGACTCAGCATGTGGGATTCACAGAACACCAAGCGCCATGAAGTGCAGCATCTGCTTTATATGTTGCTAGCCCTGAGAACTGTGGATGTGAACCACTGCTGCACCCTTTTTGCCTGGGGAAGAGAGACTGCTTTCTCTGGCAGGTGCCTTTGTTTACAGAGGCATAACTTGATTCCCTGGAGATCATTAAACTTTTCTCCCTGTAGCTGTGTGTTCTTGCTGAGGCAGCTGGGTACTTCACATCTGTAGGAATCCACGTGATGCCCAAATCTAGCTGTTGCCCCAGAGGGGCTGTTGAGTTTATAGGGTCACAGCTCTGCTGCCAATTAGGGAGGCTTGCCTGGTGTTCCAGGTTACCCCATGTTTGAGGCTGCTGGCTGGGAGGCTGTGCTGACAATGTATCCTTATGTTAACCAGAACATTGTTAGTACACCTGGCTAGCTGTGTTTTCTT